AAGATGACATCCTTTCTACATCAAGGAAATAATTCTGCTAATTAGGTGAAATGAGTCCATAATACTAACTTCACCTAAAAAATATTTTCCCTTTCTAAGCTGATGTTGTTAGGAGTGAATGATTAACGTTGCATCTGGTCCAGTGTTTGTGTACTCACATTTAAGGAAGAATTTCTTTTGATGGCCTGCTAGGAAGAATCCTAAAAACCTGACCTTGAAGTAGAAGTTCTGTCTCTATGCTTCCTCATTTTGTATGAACTTCTAACATGTCTCTGAGTTAATATCCTACCCGTGTATGTCAGACTTGGTTAACTGATCCTGCTACATCTGTAACATGTGGGCCTTTGTTCTTTGTCTTGATCAGAGATGCAGAATACAACAGCATGTCCTGTGTATGACCTTACGTATAGAAGAGAGCTAGCAGCTGAGCCACTTACTAGATCTTGTGGACATTCTGTTAACCTAAACTTCTCCAGTGCTGGCTCTTTGTTCATCTGCTTTAAGCATCCTTCCTGGCATATACAAGAGACTTGCAGTGTTTTCTGACTCTTGGTGTTGGCTCTAACAGCTAGAATTGTTTCTTTCAGTATGAACCTCTTCTACCAGTGTCTGCCGCTATTGAACTGATACTAGTGGAAGACGTAAAAGTGAACCCTACTGATGTCTCCATTTACAATCACCCTGACGTACAGGTAAGGAATTATTCTGCAACTTTCTAACTGCAGGGAGGAAAACATCAAAAATTATATGATGTGTGTAAGGATACCAGTTTTAGCAATGTACTAGAAAGATACAGTCTAATTGTGGATGCTTTTCTGGTTTTGCAGGCAGAACTTTTCATCAAAGAAGGTTCTGGGTATTTTTTCATTAATACCAGTGTTGCAAATGTTGTAAGAGTGGCTCATGAGGAAACTCAAGGTATTGCTTTGGTGAGTAAAGTACTTTGTTATTTGACGTCTTTTTGGCGATCTGAGTATCATTCTACAGTTTCATCACTTGATCATTTTCCAGTATATGTGGATAGAGAGGCAATAACTGAATCTTGGATGTGTTTGCCTGTCGCAGTCAAGCTTCAGGCAGGGGATGTTGGCAGTAGCAATTTCAGGTATAGGAAATTATTTCACTACAGTTGTGATGCATACATATACTCTATACAAGATAAAATTTAGTACCAAGTTGTTCTTTACCCATTACAATACTGCAGTAAAGTGTTCCCGATTTCATAAACACAAAATGAAAAACAATGTGACAGAATTATTGAGAAGTGTTATACAAAGGTTAATTGGTTTCTAGAATAATAACAGAATATTTGTTGTAGGCCAGTACTTCTGAAACCTTCAAATACTTCTTCCAGTGGTAATTCAGGATATTTTGCTATCACAGTATTTCATTCTGAGTTTGCGAATAAATATCTATTAAAGAGTTGATTTCTGATCTCCCTATTAAGTTTTTAATGCAATTTTCGACTAGAAGATGCAACTAAATTACAGTTGATAGAGTTGTGAAATAACGATGTAAAGATGGATTTTTTTTCATTGTTGAGAATATGGAAAGTATTGGTGAAACATTTTGATTGTCTGTGTTGAAAATGTAAGGTGGGAATATTTTTCCAAGAGTCAGGTAGCACAGAGTTGGGTTAAAAATAGAAGAGATGAGCTTATTTTTGTACATTAGTACACTGTTTCAACTCTTAATAGTTTTTAGTCAGATCTCCCTCATGGG